AAGGAACTTCAAAGGTAAGCCCAGACACCACTGAAGGCCAGTGAGTGCAACAGACAACTAAACTTGGAGACCAGGAGAGCTAAGGGGGAGACCTAGTAAGGATGGAACTTCGAAAGATGCAGATGAAGAGGTCGGTTAGCCTTCTAGACCCTTGTAAAGTGACACCACTTTTAGAAGGTGAGTTTTTTAAGTAAAATAAGGTCTTAAGTTGCATTTCAACAGGTTCACAAAATATTCTCATACCTATTTTTAGTTCTCACCATCCTGTGAAGGTAGATTATTCCACTTTACTCCCTAGGAATTTGACAGCCATTAATTGCTACCTGACAGCATGCTTTTTTACATTTATCCCCACTGCTTTAGAGCTCTCTACCCTAATTCCAGATACCCCCCCTCAACTCTCTTACATGTCCCCATCCTCTGGTTCTCTGTGCCCATTTGGAAACTATGTGGACAAAGTTGAATTTCCAGGGCTGAAACCAAATGCCTGCAGAGGATACATACAGCCCAAACACTTGCTTCTTTATCCTATATACACCTACAGAATCTTCTATCCATCACCAGCTTCAAGAACTCTACTTCCGGTGATTGAATGAATTAATGTGTCAATTCACAGACTGCAACAATTGTGTCACTTAATGTTGATAGTAGGGGAGACTGTGGGTGTTCGGGGACAGGAGAGTATATGAGAATGCTGTAGTTTCCACTCAAAACTTTGCTTGAACCTTAAACTGCTCTAAAACCTAATTAAAAAAAACAGCATTGTTAAATACCACCATCATATATATACAATGTCATTTCTATTACTTCCCCAAATCCTCCATTTAGTGCCTCCCCCACCCACACACGCCTAGGTAGTAGCACTATGCCACCTGTATGACGTGATTACAGTAATCAGGTATTTTCTTCTGAGCCACTTCTACTTTTCAGGATACTGAGTGCACAAAAACTGGGGACTGTACTCTGTATTTACCTACCAAAGCAGTAAAACAAAACAGGTCACTTCAAACTTAAGACTTTCAGGCTCCACCTAGAAGTTAATGTACAATTTTTTAAATACACTGATCCAACTGTTTACCAAAGCATTACATTTCTTGCAAAACACTGGCACACTCCTGTATACATGTTAACACTTTTACAAATAACCTTCTTGATTTCCCTCCAGGATCTGTTGACCCTAAACTCACTAATGCAGAGAAACAGACTTTGAGACCCAAGAATTTAACAAATTCTTAAATATATTTGTTCAACAACTTTCAAATACTAAAAAGTAATGATCCTGGTGCAATAGTGTCAAGAGACGAGGGCATCTGCTTCCTACTGCATCATACCCTTGGCACAATGAACGACAACCGCAAATTTCACTGTTATCATATGTACTTCAGGTTACACTCTACACTTAAAACCTCTGGTTTACTAGTCTAGGTGGGATCATCCATAAAAATACAGAGGAACGTTATTTATAAAATGCCAACTCTCCCTTTCAAGTTTTTGCTCACTAGTTTCATTAGGAATACTTCAGATGTTCCAAAAGACATTGTATCCGTGGGCACAAATTTCAGTTTTTTCCTTCATGATGTACACAATATGTAATGGAATTACTAAAAATTCACCTAAATATGGGTAGACGATGCAAAACAAGAACATAAAAGTAAAATGCAGAAAGAAAATGATACACTTATAGGCTACTTTATAGGCAAGCCAAAGCCGGAGAAAATGGAATTTCAGCAACATAATTTTATTCACAAACTGAACCTTTATCACCTTACCTATAAATTATGCACAAAGGGCTGTGAAATTGGCTTTCTTAGAATCGACCCATTTTGGCCAACTCACAATTCAAAAGTGAAAAGTTAGGATCTTTTTGTACAGACAAGTCTTTAATAAACCCAAGGAATGGTTTTCATAAGACGCAAACTGGACCCTAAGTTTTGCATGCAACAAGCTGTTGATCTGCCTTAATTTTGTCACACCAAGATTTGCCACGATAGTTAAGGGACAGCAGAGAAAAGATATCAGTCACCAACATTTCAATTTGAAAGCAGTCACTGTTTATTAATTAACTGACCAGATTACAAAAACAATCATGGTAGATACCTGAAAAGAAAAAAAAAACCCATTAAAAGAAACACCTTAAAAACTAAGAATTAACATAAATCAGGAAGTTACAGAAGTACCCATTCAGTTTCCATTTTTAAGTAGAAAAAAAAATTTTTCTTCCTGCCACAAATGTCCCCAGGAGAAACCAAACCAACTGCAATCATAAGATGGTTGTTTTCTCCCTCTAAAATACTGCTTAGAACTCAACCAAACTCTTATTGGCATTTAAGGTACTTCACTCCACTATTAAGTGAACTTCTCTCAGGAGGTAGTTGCTCACCTTAGTTCATCCTTCTAATAAGCCTGTTGATTTGGTCTTCCCTGTTGCCAGCATCTCCACCTTCTACATAATGGGTGGTCTTTTTCTTCATTCCACCTCGTGGAGAAGACAATTTGAAGGGCCACAGGAAGTTGTTTGCTTCTTTGAAACGTTTGCCAACAGTATAGATCTCATGAATCAGATCCTCCATGCAGATGATGCCATATTTACCTGAACATTTTCAAGGTTATTAAAGTTATTAAATTTTTGGAGACTTAATATCCTTTGACTGATAGGATAATTTTTATAATTAATAACAGTAACAACTTTTCCCCAAAGAGGCAGAACCTACCAAGAGATCGAGCAATCAAAGCGTTATCTGTCAGGGCAATTCGCTTCTTCTTGATTTTGCCATAACCACGCTTGTAGATCAGTTCATTTACTGACTTCAGGTTTGGGTACCTAAACACGAAAAACAAGACATAGATGAGCAAACAATACCATCAAAGACTATCAAAACACCTAAAGTTCATCTTGCTAATGTAGCCAATTTACCAAACAGAAGTCAAAAGGATACCTACCCCCATGCAATATACGGTTCCACAATTCTCAGCATGTTAATTGAAGCCTTGTTGAGCTTGACAAACGTGCCATTGAAGATCTGACGGAGGCGAAGAAGCTGCAACACCTTTCGAACCTTTGGGCTCACACCATTGATACTGCAGTGGAAAAAGACAAATTCGTTTAGCTTTTATCAGCATTTTTACTTATTAAAGAAGGAAACTAACCGTTGTAATTTTGGGCAACAGGAGTCCGACCGAATAGGAATCCTGTTACTGAGACCAATTTTCCCTTTAGTTATATTCTATCACCTCTCCCAACTTGCCTCTCCTGTAAGTAAACTGTCTTCTGACACACACCTTTGACATTTAAAACTTTTCCTGACCCTCTTACTACTTCCTAGTATTATATACATTTGCTATAGCACTTCTAAGGCAACATTTTAACTACTTTTGAAGTTAATCCCCAGGACACTGAACTCAAGTGTTCAGAGAATGGAGAGGCTTTGGGCACAGGGCTTACAACCATTAAAGTAACTCCCCTTTGTTCTAGTTATTCCCAAAATATCTTTATTCCAATGTTTCAGAACCAAGGCCTCAACAAGTAATGCAAACTTTTGCTGGGATCGTGTAGCTTTCTCTTTAAAATCAGAACGCAGTAAAAACTGAACTCACCCTCTGATTCTGATGACAAATGCCAACTTGGGTTCTGCAGGTACGTAGAAGTTGCCGGCTTTCCTTGCCATCCTGGCCATTCGAATCTCGGTTCTGTACATCTGCCTGTATTCCTTATGATAGTGCTTAGCTTTTTCGTAGATTAGCTTCCTCCTCGCCTTTCGAAGCTGAAAACCAACATCAGTTATTCATCTGCTTTTTAGCTCACAAACACAATTAGCAATACCACTTCTTTAAGAGAAAAACGCTTCCCTTGAAACTTGTTTTTCTCACCACAGCAAGCACTAACCTTCCAAGAGAAAGATACTACCTTCATTTGAAAAGGTTGTACTAAAACCAAGCTCACAGGTACAGCAGCTGAAGTAAGCAAGTCTTGTTCAGAACACCCACCTCATTTCAACTACAGGGCCCCTTCTTCTACGTCCCTTAAAATTTACTTACCATCTTTTGGGCAAACTTCTTTCTCAGGCGCTTGATCTTAAGCTCTGCGAAATTCTTCCGCTTTTTCTTAAGGGTTTCTGGTACAGCAGGAACCTTCTTTTTCTTCTCTTTAGCAGGGACCACTTTCCTTAAACGAGTCAAAGATAATCACATTTTACCTACGATCAGTCCCGGGCTCCCACAACAAAAATATCAACAGCGAAGAGTACAGACTAAAAGACTGCTGCAACACACTGATCCCTAGACAATCAGCGAGTCTGAGTCTAAGAGGCTTAAGAGTCTCGAAAACAAAACTTCAACTACCACCCTGGTTCAAGCCTCCAGCTCCACATGCTGTAAGCAAACGCCCGATGGCAAGGACGCCTGGGGCAAATGCCAGCCAATTCAGGGGTTCTGAGCCTCCCTTAAAAGAAGGTGGACTGGACAACCGGCCGGTCCCGCACAGACTCAACTCACACCGTGTTGCCGTATCTCCAAAGCCTTTGCCCCAAGGCCGCCTGAATTCCATCTTAACCTGGGACTACCAGTAGTGTCACAAAACGTCACAAACACACAGATAAGTTGGCAAAAGTACTGGCTACAGTGGGAGCGGGGGAAAGTGCAACAAAAAGCCTCTGGTTTCAGGGATGGAGAAGGATTCTTCAGAAGACGAAGAGAAACTTACTCTGCACCCTCCATGGTTCCAGCCGGGAAAGAGGAAGTCGGCGCATGCGCGCTGTCCACTTAAAGACGGCTAGCGTGAAGCCCCACGACTTATAGGTGTCCCGGGATAAGCCAGAAAAGAACTCAGAACTGAGAACTAGCCTTGCAGATGCAGAGTTAAGAACTGCCTGATTCAGCCTCTTACGATCAAGTTTCGGGTAAAATTTGTATCACAAAAATGAGTACATTGGTTAGACTCTTTAATCAATATGATGAGAGCAAAGAGTGCTGACGCCTTGACTATTCGGGGTCCTAATCCCTTGGCTGCGTTGACAGCGTAGGGCTCGAATTCTACCCAGTGATATAGGCAAGTAACACGCCGCTGGGGCGCGAACTACAAATCCCGGCATGCATCACTTTCCTTGCCCGCCTGGCGGGAGGGCAATTCTTGACCGGGGCTGTAGAGGACCACAGAGGTGGTAATTCCAGCCGGGGAAATTGAGAGCCTTTTGGCCCACGTCCCTACGGTTCTAAGTCGCTCCCGGATTTTGACCGCCTTCTCGGCTCTCTGCCAACCCTGGACGTAGACCGGCACGCCCGTTGCCGCGCTGCCGAGGTCCTTCTCTTCGTTTCTCCAGCCTGCAGGGCTGTCTTCCGCAGCGCCTGATCGCATGCGGGGCCACCCAGAGATCCCTGGTTAACGAAAGCGACGAGACAGGGACAAGCGAGGACCGGACGGCCGGACAAGGATGGCCGGGGCAATGCT